TCCTAATTCATAAAGTTATTTTATAGCTTAATAAAAATAAATAAAATTCAAGGTAATGTATCACACCTTAAGGTTCATCTCTCCCATTCAGTCCCATCTTGACAATTTGAGAAGTTTCTAAGGAAGAGACAGCAGGCGACATACATGCTTATTCATCCATAGACCTTGGAGCAAGAAAATGTAGAGAGGAGGTCGCCACCCCAAGTAGATTTTTTTCCTACCCAAATCTGCAAGTTAAAAGGGTCCCAGATATCATCTAACTCAACCTCATTTGGTTCTATAGAAAATGAGGCTTATAGAGGAAGCAGATAACCCAAAGTTCCCCTGACACTAGTGCCAGCTTAACAGTAGAGCTCTATCTCCTGTGCAAGCAACAGTCTTGTGAATGTCTTACTGCAGTCTTTATTGCAGGAATTGATGAAACTTGAGGACCTCACAGTTGCAATCTATTTTGAGGCATATGCAAAAGTGTTTGCCTTTGATTTATCATGAAGCCTGAAAAATGCCACAGAAAACAGCCCAGAGAGTGTTAGCCAAAGAGGATACATGTGACTAAGGGTCAAACACTGAGGTAGCTTTTGGGAAAAAATGCAAACTCAGAGTGAGTTCATAGTTAAGGAATTACTGAGCAGTGCATTGAACTGTGTCTCAGGTGACAATTTCTTAAATCTTGTTCTAAATTAGTTTTAGAAACTACTGGATAGTTAATGCTACTGAGTTTCAATTACTTTAATCAAACAATGTGAAAAGTACATATTTGTGTAAGTTGTACCTTACTGTTGATAAGTATAAGTCAGCAGGTGATATTTACAAATCCAGTGAGGGGGTGCTATTTCAATAACTACTCCTTGGATGTTCCCCTCTGATGCCTTTTCCAGACAGGTTAGGTCAGTGTTTCCCAGAAGGATCATTTTTGTTCCCCAGGGTATTAGGCAGTATCTGGAGATATGGGTTATCACAGCTCTCAAGGGCCTGGGGAGGATGCTTCTGGCATCTAGAGGGCAGAGGCCCATGGATGCCACTAAATACCCATCCGTACATAAGACACCCCCGTCCAAACACAGATCTGACCCCAAGTGTCAATAATTCTGAAGGTAGTAGATGCCTAGATCATGCAAAGCAATGGGTATGCTTGAGGAAAAAAAAAAAAAATTAGAATACTTTGGTCAGGGGCAAGCATCCTCTGTGACACTGTAGCAGGAAGACAGTGTGTCCTCATCTGGGGTGAAGCTGCTTATTGCTGGAACTGGTGACTGTGGTATGAAGACACTGACTTTGATTCGCTCTACTATGCCGGAGCAGTAAAGGGACATTTCTCTTTCATTACCTGTCATAGTTCTTAGTAGAGATGATGACCTTGGTAGATTTCCTTTATGTGAAAATATGTTCCTAAAAAATTATGTGATAAGTTGTATTTCGAATAGAATCACAAAACAGTAAATAGTCAGGAGCCAGTAAATCTTTTTCAAGTGAAAATCCCCTTCAGTAAAGCCATATTCTCAGGGTCAGGGAATTAGCTCGGCCATCTAAGTGCTTGCCTGGCAAGCACAAGGACCCTGGTTCAATCTCTCTTAACACACACTATGCTGCCCCAGCCCGGTGCTGAGCCAGTCACCGAGACTGGATGTGGTAGCACATGCCTATAATCCCAGCACTGGAGAAGCTGAGATAGGAGAAAAACGACAAATCAGAGCTACATAGCAAGAGCCTGTACCAAATAAATAAATAAAAAATTTTAAATAAAGTCCTTTTCTCAACAGGCTTAAACCTGTATATATTGCATTTTCAAATATACTTTGTTTTTCCTGTATACTACATTTTTATTACAGAGTTGTATTAATTTTATGTAAAGAGAACAGTTTCTCTTTCCTTTTCCTGCTCCTGTCCTTTTTCTTTAAAAAGAAAATCAAGGTGGGGACGGAGTCTCTGAATTTGGGAAGGTCGGGGCTGCAGATTTGGCTTAGCAGTAGGATGCTTGCCTAGCAAGCTGGAAACCCTGGGTTTGGTCCTCAGCACCAAAAACAAGACAAAAAATAAATAAAATAAACCTCCCCTGAAATTGGGAAGATCATTGACCAGTCTGTCCATATGACAGTTGGAAAGTTGTCTTCTGGGTTATAAATTGTGAGAAAATAAGACTTGCCTCTATTTTAAAATCATTAATTTTTGCTTTATCTCATACTTTTTTTCAGTTACTGACCTTTGGCTAGAAAGAGCAGGTGCACTGATCCCTGCATCACCCCATGGGTGTTTGTAACACTAGAAATATCGATAAGACTTAAACTTCTTCACTCACTGGGGCCTGGTATCAGCAAAGATAAGGGAGTGGCACTGGAGGGACAGACATGGTGTAGTTTTTCCTTATCAATCAGTGCCCTAGGGCAACATCCTTGGGTATATAAATCTCAGACTAACACAGCAGGTCAAGGGGGCAGGGAGAAGGAAATTTATTTGATAAACCTACCATTAGTGTCACTTTACTGATAGAAGGTTACAGAGGTGTGACCCCAGGGGGACAAAGCTACTGCCATTGGGGAAGCTGGGGTAGGCTGGCCTAGGCTAGAGGCACTAAGAAACCTCTTCTGACCTTCAGCTCCTCTGGCAGGAGGGAGGAGGCAGCAGAGAGGCCCAGTACAGCCCTAGTGTTGAGGAGCATGGGGCCAGAGTCACCTGGAGGGGTGGTGTCTTACCATGTGCATGGTCCTCTCACCAGTATTTGCCCATTGAAGTCTCACAGTAACACACTGAGTAGGAAGGAGTCATCCTGAGCAGTATGTTACAGATGAGGAAATCGAAGCACCAAGATGGTAGTAAGTTACCCAGGATCACTCAACCACACACAGATTTGTGATTTAGCAAAGTGCTCTGCCACAAAACACTGTTTCCTGGCACAGCAGCAAGGTGCTCACTCAGAGCCCTGGCAGCATCTGCTCAGGGAGAACCTTGGCCGGCCGGCCAGAGACAGTTTCTCTAACAACTCTCTCTACCTCTTTTGCCGCTGGGAGATAATCACTAGCCCTTTTGGGATCTCTTTTCTAATCTGTGAAATGGAAGAGGGGGATGCATCCCCTGGTCACTACTGTGATGTAGGTGAAGTCAGGCTACAGCAAAGCCTCCCAGAAAGGCAACAAGCAGCCTCAGGGCACACCGGAGGGAGCAGTGCCCACTTGCCTGTGTCTGAAATCACACCAGACGCTTTACCTGTGATCTCATCTGCGGCAGCAGGCACCGCTGAGGTGGGTGCTGATGTCTCTGTTGAGAAGAAGCTGATGTTCAGAAGTAACTGCTCGAGGGCATTGTTTTGTCTGCTCAGTGTGCCTACCAAATACCACAGACTTCATGGCTTAACCACAGAGACAGACTTCTTACAGCTCTGGAGGCTGGAAACTTTAGAGCAAGGTGCCAGCAGGATTGATTGCCCATGTGGCCTGTCTTGCTGGTAGCCTTTCCTCCAAAGCATAGGACAGAAAAACTGAGAGCAAGCTCAGAGTTGTCTTCTATGCTGACCAGATCAGGGCCCCAACCCTGATCATGACCCCAGTACCAAACAAATGCTGTATTTCCAATTACAGTCACACTGAGCTTCAGCCGCACATATGAACTGCAGGGGCACACAGTTCAGTCCATAGCAGCGGCCAGCCTGGAAGCAGTCTGAAGCTCCTTGCCTGATCTCTTCCTGGGCCTGGTGGTGAGGACTGCTAGGGTCAGTGGAGCAGTGTCTGCTGCTCTCTCGGCAGGACCTGCAGCTAGCATCTCCTCTGCTGAATCACTGCCTCCTCTCCAAGGCATGAGGTATGTGGGATGATTTCTCTTTGGCCAGACCCATGGCACCCAGCATGGTGCCAGGAATGAGTCAGTGGCAGGCTAGGAAATAGAACCCCCAGGACATCCTGAGCCCAAGCCTAACTAAAACTACAGGTACTGTGGGGGAAAGCCACAGACAGCCGAGGCTATGGCCAGGGATACAGCTCAGCTGCCCACACCTGGCTGACAAGCATGAGGTCCTGAGTGTCACTCCCAAGCCTATCCCCTGAGGATTGCATCCTTGGCATCCTTCTTTCACCCCAGCACATTGCTGGAAGCTCCCTGGATGCTGCTAGCTGGACAGAGTCATGTAGCTGGAAGAACAGGATCAAAGTCACTTGTCACTAGTGTGGAAGGATGAGAATTCAGCCCACGTCAGCAAGCCACTCACTGAAGCAGCTACATGTGAGCCTGTCAGTCATCATTAAAAACTATGCAGTAAAAACAAGATATTCAGACTCCTAAGCAGGCGTCCACTAGGCCAAACAACAAGCCAGTCATCCACCTGGAATGTCTCCTCTCCATAAATTATAGTATTATCTGCAATATGACTGAGGGAAGAAAACTTTTCTTTCTCACTCTGTCATGTTTTGTTGTTCATACTTAGGGTACAAAGGTAGACTCATAAAAATGGAAAGTATTCCCTAATTTTTAAAAAACTCACAGAGTAACAGACCCCAGGATATCTTTCAGAGAATAAAAATGTGTCATTATACCTTCTCAAACTGTCAAATAAAGACTATGAGTTAGCAAGGCCACTCAGTTCACATTAACTAAAGAAAAAAGCAGTGTTCTCAGAGCCATGGTGCTGGGCCCACCACTGGTGTGCCGGGTGTTTGTTTCTGGCTGGCCAGGCAGTTCCTCCTCATTTCCTGTCTCTTCTCCCAGTTACTCCTTCCTCTTTCTCAGTGGCAGGGAGACTGACACATAGAGCTTCCAGCGCTGCCTATGGTCACTGTAACCACAGAGATCTAGGTAGCTGCTGACTCAACTCCTCTCAGAAGCTGGATGCCTCTCTCCAGCCTCCTTCCAATCACGAGAGAAAGTTTTTTCAAGAAAAATTCAACCTTGAATATTTTGCAGAAGGAAACATTGCATTATTTGGGATCATCTCTCTTCTCAGGGGCAGGGATGTCCGGGTAATGGTGTGCCTTAGCTGCACTCATGTTCATCATCTCCACGGTTGGCTTTTGCAGGTGTGAGAGCTGTGGAGCCGTCTTCCATGCTGAATGCAAAGAAAAGTCTGTCCCCTGCCCACGGTGCGTCCGACGAGAGCTGCAGAAGAAGCAAAAGTCCTTCTGGCGGCAGCTGAATGTGGACGAGAGCCTGGAGGAGGCATGCACCATGTTTGAGCTGTCCTACCAGAACACCTGACTACCAGGCCACTGCCAGCATGCACCCTGCAGTGGCCCGTGACCAAGTGGCTCCCAGGCAACCACACGCAGCAGAGATGAAGGGCCTGTCTCCTCTTCCGTTAGATGTAGCTACCTACGTTTATTTTACTTACATGTATACACACCTGTACGTCCTGTACATATGTTCTGTACAGATCGTCTAACGAGGCAGCAAGCCTCTGTGGATGAAAACCTACCCACATGCTTGGCCATGAACTTCAGCTGCTTGTTCCTAGCACCTGTGGTTTACATACAATGCTTTATATAGTTCAGAGTTTTTTGTTTTATTTTGTTTTGTTTGGCCTTTTAGGGGCCATTTTTACATATGACATAGGAAGAAGCATTTCCTGCAGTCAAACACTGCTTTGTTTATTTCTGTATTATGTATTTTTAGCTTTCACAGGGACGAGGGGAACTGAGGCAGGCACTGTCATCATCTGTTTCATAAGGAAATCTGCAGAATACAGAAACATGCCTGGATCCTTCCAGGACCCCGTGTCCCTGGCAGAGACCAGGATCTCTGGAGTAGAGGTGTGAAGCAGGGAGCCAAGCACATGGCTGTCTCTGACAAAAAGCACTGCCCTGAACTGAGGAGAAGGCTGCTTCTGGTTTTGAAGTTAATCCCTGAGTTTTCTCCTAAGGAAAGGAGAGGCCTCTGTGACCAATAACTGCATGTCTTCTGTTTGCTGGTACGAATTCCAACACCTGCCTAACCACACAGTCTCCAGCACATCGGCCACATTACAACATGGCTGTCTTAAGAACAGTTTTCCAAAGATGTTGTGGTGGTATTTGTGATATTTTTCATGGTGTTGGCTGGAGGAACTTAGAAATGTCATTAAAGACATCAGTGAGTAGACTGGTAGACTAGATGGTCCGGATCTTGGAAGAAGCCTTCTTCAGCTTTCTTTCACAGTGTACTGTGCCGGCAGTTCCTACATGGTCATTGGAATGCTTTATTTCTGTGTTCCTCACTGCACTTCCATTCTGGCCTTTGTCAATTTAACCACTTTTGTGTTACTTTTTGTTTAAAAAATCAGTAATTTTTGAAAAAAAAAAAATCCAATTTTAAGCTATCAAGAAAATACCAAAAAAATTAATGAATTGCATCTAATAGCATTTAAGTAGATATATATAATTGCTATTCTAAAGTAAAAAGTACTAAAATAACATCCAAGGAATAAGAAATATAACCAACTGCTTTGCTATTTGGCAGGGTCATGTCCTCCTACTGCAGTGTCCCTGTAAGAACTAGCATGGCACGGACCATGACTGAGGTGGCAGGTAGGACAGCACTGGAAACCTGATTGCTCCCTTCTTCCTGCCTTGGCTCTACAGAACAAGAGAATATTCTTATAACAAAACAATTCTCAAGAGACTTCAGAAGATGGTCAAGGGTCTTTCACACTGAGCAGATGTGATCCATGCGTTCATGGCTTGGTCGTCCCATGGCTGCTGGGGGCTGGGGAAGCAGTGGCTCATGGAGGATATGGTGCATTCACCTCCACACCTTGCTCCCTCCAGAGGCCAGCTCCTGACACGTCTGTCTATCCAGAGACATTTCACAGTGACTTTCCTGCAGTTAGATGTAAGCAATGCACCTCCCAGCCCTTTGGCCCCAAACCACGTGTTTCAACTTAATAACTGAGCACCATGCATGCATTTATTTTCTGATTTTACAGTAGTGTGACCAAGGCATGAAACTTGGTGAGAATCCAGAGCCCTGTTCATGAGACACCTTGTTGGGTGCCTTTTACTCTTAGAAAAAGCAGGTTGACTCACACTCCCTCCCCCCAATTATCGAAAGTGTGCATACAAAAGGTAAGAGGTGGAAAGTGTCTCAAACACTTGGCAAACAGATTTGATCATCTCTTCTCCTCCCCTTTGTGAAATACAGTATTTATATTTTCCAGCCCCAGAGAAGATAGTTGAACATGATCTTTCACAAGAGAATTATAGACCTGCTTATTATAAAACAGATGTGCTCCCATGGCAAAGTGCCTTCCCCCTCTGCTCCCAGCCCTGTCACTGGGAGCTTGCTTTTACCTTCACTGGAACTAATGTATCTGTGATTCCGACCTTAGCAAAGCTCTTCCTAGCTTGCTGTGTTTGGAGACCTGAAGTTCAAGGCTGTCCCCACCCTCCTAACATGTTTGCTGTGTACAGAATGTTTTATCCCTACTCACAGGCATCCAGGATGAGACCTGCCACAAGTCAAGGGTGACATTTTGGATCCCTGATCTAAACACCTTTGTTTTCGCCAGAATCCACTTAGCAGGCCCTGCAAAATATTAGCAGTCCCTGGGAACTCCTAACAGTTTTCCACCCATATCACTCTCTGCTTATTTTCAAAAGGAAAAAAAATAATAAATGCACCATCACCATCAGCTACCCAGAACTGGAACTGAGTCCCTGCTGCTTCTGTTTTCTCTCCTTTTTGTACGATGCTGACAGCCTGGTTCATGCCAGCCATGGGCCTACAACAACATTCTCTGCCAACACCACTAAAATCTGCTAGGATAGAGTGGAGCCAGCTTCCAAGTTGGGTCTGCCATGAAAATTCAAAATTGCTATTTTCAGCCCAGAATGCCTTAGAGCACATGAACACCCTTACTGTTTTCCACCCTAACAAATTGCTTGGTGCAGTGTTAGGTAATTGTTCCACTGCTTAGAAACTGTAAGAACAAAAGCAAGTCTGTTGACAAATCCCTCCTTCTGACTGTGCTAATACCTGCTTTGCCTCGTGTTCCATGGTAAATATCTTTGCATGACATAACATATGAGAAAGTGGCCAATTACTCTCCTGTGACTGGCCGGGTCCAGGGAGCTACTTCTCACTCAAAGGCCCAATCCCTGCTACACACTTGAGGAACTCCTTCCCTGGTGCCAGAAACACTCATGTGAGACCATCCAGCCCTGCTGAAATGTTGGCTTCTAACCTGAGGTAAAGAAGCCAGCCCCTAAAATAGACCTCAGTGTGCACAGCCACAGAAAGGGCCACAGAACGTTCACAAAGCAGGCAACTGCAGTGCAAGTATTCTTTCCAGGGCTGCCTGTTCCAGATATGGCATCTTTATAGGAAAACCACACATGCCAAGTATTGTGCCCTATCCGATTTCCTCGCCTGTTCAGGGGCCCGTGTGACAGTCATTCCGGTGGCTGTAGTGCTGAGGTCCATCCTGCTGGGAGTAGAACCATTTGGTGAGATGAGAGGGTAGTCACTTGGGTCTTCTAGATGAAGCCACCACCACACAGAATGCGGCTGTAGGACTCGGGACTTGTGCTTTCCAGCATAGTGGTGCCCTTTAGACTCCTGAAACGGAGCTGTGCTATGACTTCCCTTGGACACCATAAAGACCAAAGTGTGTATACCGTCCTGTATATACTGTCCTGCTTTCCGATCGCAGTCCTCCTGATAGCTTCTGTGTGTCACATGCACACATTTTGTGCCTCCTGAGAGAGCTTGGCTTCCAATCTGCAGGTTTGTCCTCTGCGGGGGGGGGGGGGGGTTGTCCATCATTTAATCATCAGGGTGGGACTCCAAACCCATTCTCAGAGACAGACATTATCCAGGGAAGTAGAGACATGTTCTGCTCACACATCAGAGTAAAACTGCCGCCACTGCCGCCACTCCTCTATGTGCAGGATTTGGCTTCTCCGTTGATCTGCTGTGCTTTATTGAAATAATTAGATTAAGAGATAAATCATCAGCTCTTATTCAATGTAGCTATTATTTCATTTTTTTTCTTAAGCTCTAATAGAAATAGAGATGTGTGTAATGTTCCCCCTTTTTGTTTCTTGAGTTTTCATCTCTACTGTTTTGCTCCCATGAAATAACATTGAAAAGATAGCATCTGGGCAAGACTGAAAGCAGCAAATGCTTCTCTCCAGAGCAAGCAGTCCCTCCTTCTCCTCGTCCCAGGCTTGTCAGCCATGGCCACCAGGCACCCTGTGCCCTCCTTGCACACTCTGCTGACACTGAGTTAGTACAGTTGGCTGCTCCAGATCGAACCCAGCGATGGGTGAATAAACCCTGCTCAGTTAATCTGAACAGACACATGTTGATCTCTATCATGTGAGACAGTGTTTTGACAGTTAAGTCTCAGCACCCAGAAGCTTATCAGTAGTCAGTTCTCACGTCACTGCATTCAAAAATCTCTGACTGGAGAGTTTTTCTCTGGTATGCTTTAGTGGATACATGGCTGAGGTAAGATCTAAGTCACTCATATACATAGGTAAAAGTCAAAAGAAAAGTGTGGAATTTTTTTTTCCACAGGTTTTATTTAAATAGGTTCCAAATGATCATGACCTATGGCATTTTCCTTATAAAGAAGCCTCTGGTGTGATCGAAGGCATTGTTTAAGTGAGAAAACTGATGTTTTATTCTAGTTCCTCCGTGTAGACCAGAAGGCACTAGCTGCTCATTTTGTTGAAAAGCTCTTGAGTGAAGCCAGTTGCTGGTCCAGATAGAAGATTCAGGCTCTAGCACAGTGCTTCTGTGTGAGTAAACCAGCCCTCCACCCAGATCCTTTTCATCCTAGGCCTGGCCCAGATTTAGGCCTCATGGCTAACGAACCACTGAGAGGACAAGTGGGCCTGCAGCTCCTCCTCCATCTGTGTCTTCCCTGTAGGAGTGCCTTATAGTACAGCTAGTGCTTCTATCTAGTTTATCTCACCCACCAGAAGCCTGTAGGACCATGTAACTAAAACAGATCCTTCCTTTTTTGCTGGCTTCTCTTCATCCAGATACATGTAGAGCATGTGTATTCTATGACACAGGTCACACCTTTCACCTTTGCTTAACCTGGTGCCTTAACCCCATGAGTGAAGGGATTCACACTGGAAACACATTATTAAAGTTAGAGTAGGGCCAGAAATATACAGCTCAGTGATACAGCGCCTGCTTGGCAAGCCCAAGGTCCTGAATTTGATTCCCAATACCAAAAAATAAAGTTAGAGTAGTTCACACTTGGTCTTCTTATTGCCATTGACACTTTTACCAGGAAATATAAAGTGTGATCAGTAAAAAATGGTGTTTAATTTTTTTAATATATTACAGTAAAAGACGCAATATCAGTAATCTCCCTCAAAACAGTCCCCCTTACTTTGAACTCTTACAACTTTCTGAAGCCATTCTGAAAGTTCTTCTTCCTGAGTATAGTTGCACTATTGTAGATGCCTCTGCTTCCTGAATTGATTTGAAACATTCAAGCAGTTGTCATCTTGGTCCTTGCGGAAGAACTAGAAGTCACGTAGTAGCAGATCCTGTGAGTGGATGAGTACTTTCAGCTTTCCATTGGATGGTGCTCAGCAGCAGGATGCACTAGTTTTGAACTCCCCTCATAAAAACTCAAAAGAGGACATCCAGAACTGCTTTAGAAAGCAGCAAGAAGGATGGAATAAGTGTGTTCAAAGTGAGGGGGAATATTATGAAGCAGTTTACTAATATTGATTTGGGGGAGGTTGTTGGTTTGGTTTGGTTTGGTTTGGTTTGGTTTGGTTTGGTTTGGTTTGGTTTAATTTGGAATGTATATTTTGGGTTTTTTTGTTTGGTTGGTTAGTTGTTTTTGTTTTTGTTTTTTTCAGTACCGAGATCAAACTCAGGACCTTGCACTTGCCAGGCAGGTGCTTATGCCACTGAGATTTCTCCCCAGCCCCTGGTATGTGTATGTGTTTGCTTGCTTGCTTGTTTGTTGAGATAGGATCTATGTAGTTCAGATTGGCCTTGAACTCACTACATAGCCCACGCTGGCCTCAACCTCGTGGCAGTCCTGCTTCAGCCTCTCAAATGCTGGAATTACAGACACACACCACCACACCCAGATTAGCAATGTATTATTTACTATAATCAATTTTTTTAATTTAAACATTCACCATATATTTTAATCACATATGGTATAAAAGATACAACCACACAATGTTTTAACTTTGTGTTATACTTTGTGTTATACTGTGTGTTTCTTAATCACACTCTGCTTGATTGTTTGTGTGCTTGCTTGCTTTCATTAACCAAACTCAGGGGATGTCATGATATCACAAGGCCAATGAGGAGAGAAATAAAACCAACTGTCCAGGATTCAATCTGCAAATTCAATAAACTTAGCCTTTTTCAGGTTAAAAAAAAAAAAAAGTGTGTGTGGTGGCACACACCTATAATCCCAGCACTCTGGAGGGCAAGGCAGGAAAGTCATTGCAAGTTCAAGACCAGTCTGACTAGAAAGTGAGCTCAAGGCCAACCTACACTGCAGAGGGAGACCCTGTCTCAAAAAGATGAAAATAAGTTTTCTTTTCCATTACTGTATAAAGGTTTGGTTGTTTTTGGTTTTTTGTCACCTTTTTTTTTCCAATGGGAAGCTCCTGGGATAAACTTTCATGAAAATGTCCTCTGAGTGACAAGGCTGTCACTGAGCTCTCATACAAGGTCTGGCTTCCACATCTATTAGATTCCAACCGAATCTCTAATCTTGGTTACCTTCCCAGAGAAGATTTAAGGGGAAAAACCACTTCTAAAGAAAGGTAAAGGAAGGAAATGCCTATGATATAAGTGAAGAAGATGAACATGGAAATGCAGAAGATTTCTGAAGAACTTGTTCTCAGGTTCCAGGTTCAGAGCTGTGTCATTTTTCATTATTTCTTCTCATACAGTATAGAATTAACTAAAAGTTTGGATTAGGTTCTTGTATCACTCTGTGTTATGTTGCTTATAATAGCTCTTGTACTTTTCTGTTTTTTGGATTTCATTTCCTTTTTTGGCATACTTTATCCATCTTTTGTTTACATAATTTTAAAAATATCAATAACTATAATAATATAAAATGAAGTTGTGTTGCTGACAAGACCTCTAGTCTTTATGATCATCTGTCACATAATTTAAGTGTACCCATTCCTACTGTGTAAAGTTATCTCTGTCAATAAACAATGCAGAAAATACATTCTCCTCTCAGAATCACCTCTTTAAAATACTGTCTTTGAGGGGGTGGTAAAATGCTGACTGAGCACTGGCTGTTAATTCAAAGTTCAGAATTGAGGTGTAGTGAAATTGAGCTACCAGAATTTTAAAACATCTCTTCATATTAACTTTGCAGATGGGCTTTTCTTCTGAATTCACTAATAGCTTTCTCAGTAACTCCTCCCATGTTTATGAAAAGTACAAGGTAACCTGTAAAAGTATGCAGATGTATCGTTATGAGCCTCATTTGCTGAATCAAAGTGATCATTTTCAGTTCTGAGACAGCCAGAGAGCTGGAAACTTGCAGAAGAGCTCTGCTCTCATCTTGCCTGTCCCAAAGTCTGCCAAGCAGTCAGCACTAGGCAAAGGCCCTAGGCATCCCAAGGACCACCTTGTGGGACTGAAGAAGGTGCAGAATGAAAAGTAAAGAGTAGGTCTTTATGCTCCATCTAGCAGCCCTCTGGGGGTTGAGAAGTGATTGGAAGTTAGTACAACTATTTCCTGCGTGGGCTAGCCCTGCCCTTCACCAGAAAGGACACAAGGTGAACAACTGTCTACTTGAATCCTTCCTAAAGCCCTATTTAAACTCACTTTCCCAAGAAGGACATTGAAAAGAGATGAGAACAGGCACTTCTGGTAAACATTTACCAAAGGTGAACCCTGAGCCTTGCTCCCTGCAACACACCCAGGCTGGGTCATGGCCAGCCTCTCCCACCCCACCTTCAGTAAGCCAGCCAGCCTCACGCCCACTCGAGCTCAGGAGTAACTGGACTTCATCCTCACATGAAACCTGCCCATCCACGATAAAAAGGAACAAGTTAATGTTTCACTGCACCAACTAGACACACAATGTATTCAGAGCCCAGACTGCACTGATTCACAAGACAAGTAAGTCTTGCCACAGGTATAGGAAACTAGAGTGGCTGGATCACTTCAGGAAGTTTGGGCACCGTCAAAGCCAAGCTATGCTAAGGTGCTGTCAGAGGCCAGAAGGAGACGCCATCTTGTTCTGCTCCCCACCCTCAGAAGATGGAGATTCTAACCTGTCTTCCTGTTCTATCCTTTGATGGTAGCTCAGAAGATGGCCTAATTCAGTGCTTCCCTTAGTAGAATCACAAAAATAAGCCTAATGTCAGGTCTCATCAGAGATGCTAGAATCAGAATATCTATGGATAGGGCTGAGTATCATATTTTTAATGGCTATCTGGATGTAGACAGCAATGTAGCTCAGCAGTGGAGTGCTTGCCTGGCATTGCAGGCCCTGGGGTCTTATCTCCCAGCACAACCAAAAAACTGTAAAAACAAGAAAAAGCTTCCCAAGTGATTACTTTGTACTCCTAAACTTAAGGATCACTAAATGAAAAAGTTGCCTTGGGGAAACACTGGCTTGGCATGTTATAGGTAACTGCAGGTTGGTTTCAAAGAGATATGCGGTGAGTGAAAGGCCTCCCTTTCTCTTGATAGACACAGAGAGTACATTGGAACTCACTGCTCA